CTGCTTTTCTTGACTGATTTTCAAGGCAATGCCATATCCAGTGAACAAACTGCAGGAGAAACTATACTTAGCAAATCTCCCCTATGCTCATGCACATAGGTACTAAGATATTTTCTTTGGCTTATATAATGTCTACCATTCTTTCTGGGTTCAGTTTTAAAATCTTTATAAAATTTGCTAACCCATGATTGATTTATGAATTACTTAGCGTTTAGCATCAGTTGCTGTGTTTCTTCTCATTTACCTTACACTTTATTTTCTTTCATTTTTCTCCTTTGAAATTGTCTTACAGTTAAGTAACATCAAGTTCTCAATTTCTCTTGTCTTTTTTCATAGGCATCCATTGCCTCAGAAAGTTAACATTTATTGAACATCTGTTGAACACTAAGTCACTCAAAGTATAATAAAGGGTGAGGCTTGCATAATAGAATGCTGGAGGACAGACAGTAAACACATATATTACCTCCCAGGAAATTTTAAGTACTTTGGTGAAAAATCAGCAGTGTAAAGAGGCTAGGTCAGGAAGAAGGTGTTCTTATGTAAGGTAGCCAGAGAGGGCCTCATTGAGGAGGTGATGTTTGCACAGAGATTTGAAGCATATTTTGGAAGATGGTGTGTGAACAGTTCGCCAAAGAAGAGGGCTAACTAATGAAAAAGCCCTAAGGTGTGAGTGTCCTAAGTGTGCTTAGAACATAAGGAGTCCATTGTGGCTGGGCAAGGTGAGCTGTGAAGAGAAAGCAGTGTAGAGAATAAGACTGGAAATATGTGGGGAATGGCTCAGGTTTTTGACAGGAAGGACTTGTTAATATGTGAATTTCTGTGTCCCCTTCCTAGAATGTATAATTTTCAGTGTGGTATTGGGAGGGAAATTTACATTTCTGACAAATTCTACGTGAGAACCACTGGACTAGGGAAGCCGCATGGAACCAGGGAACCTTTTAGGAGGTAGTAATCTAGGTAGAGATTGTAGGTGCTCAGGGCTGAATTTGTAGTGGAGGTGCTAAAAAGTAGTCAAATTTGGGGTATATTTTAGAGATAGAGCCAATAGGATTCACTGATAGTAGAAGTATGAGGGTAAATGCAAGAGGGGCATGAAGCAAGGTGGAAAGGACAAATTAGAAGTTTGGTTTTGATGTTGTAAGTTGAATGTACCTGACTGAACATGGAAGTGAAGCTACTGAGAAAGCAGTGGAGAAACGCAGGACAGATGAACCATAAGATAGGTATAAGGTGAGAGCTGAGAGGTCCTGAAAGTGAAGAAACATAATCAAGGAGACAGGTGTAATGGACTGTGTTAAGTGCTGCGGCATCAGGGACGCGCCATAGATCAAATGTTGACCTTGTTATTTAGTGAAGAGAAAGTCCTTCATACATGACCACAAGTTCAGTGGTGCAGCAACATCATGGTTAGAGTGGACTGAGAACACGGAGCACATAAAAATGGCAGTAGCTGTACGGAGGAGTGTGGTGGTGCTGTAAAAGTTTGCCCTTTGTGTTTTGCTCCAGGTGGGAAAGAGTATGTGTATTTTAATGGGGGGGCGGGGCTTGATCGAGTGATTGTTTCCTACCAAAAAGCACAGAGAGAAAGGAGTTACTGTACTAGGAGCTTTTGATTCCTAGAATAGTTTAAAAGAACATCCAGAACTGGCACTTTTGCTGTACAGGTTAACGTGAGAGAGTTGTGTCTTTCCTTTTCCTCAGATGGGGCTATAAAGTCCAGTCCAGCTGAACAGCTCATGGTGGCCAACCCTTGAAGCAGAGGAAAAGCACTCCTTCTCAACATTTGTATTTGGATATGATTGAGTAGAATTAAATTGACATTTCCTCTAGAGTTAGGACAGTGAAGAAGCATACCCTGTTTGTAATGTATTCATTACTTGGGGATTTATACTAGATTTTTTTTTAAGTTTTTCAAACATGTACTTGATTCCTTATATTTCCCAAAGAGGACAGAATTTCCATTGTTGAGGTTTTCAAATGTTTTGCAGCAAACTATCCCACAGCTTGGTTGCTTAGTAATAAGTCATCTATTTTGATTATAAATTAACAGTTTTAGCAGAAATTGTTGAGTACAGCTAGAGTGACTCGACTGGGTCTGGAGAATTTACTTTCAGGATAAAAATGTATTCAGGGACTTGGTTCCTATGTGCCACATAGAAGATGGGTTTAGCAGGTATTTAAAAATGAAAGCCACCAGCCTTCTAAATTCTAGGCCAGTGGTAGCAAACCTATGACATGCGTGTTACTTGTTTTTCTTTTAAGAGAAAAGATGTTAATGTGAGTTTTTTTCTAAACCACAACCTCAGTATTGAGGTTTCATTGCAGAGTTGGCAATTTGAGATAAATTTGGGCTGTAGTTTGGGCACTTGTCTCTCAGGTTTGCCATCACTACGCAGATCCCAAACAAACCCCTTGCTCTTGCCCATACTCGAATAGTCAACAAATCCTACTAGATTGTCCAGATTTAAGAGAAAGAGCCAGAGGTCCTACTGCTGGATGAAAAGAATGTGAGAGAGTGTGGCCGTCTTAGTCTGCCACACACTGTAATCCCAGAAGCAGGAAAATGATGAGCACTTTTTTTTCCTTCTTCACTCAATATTGGTACCATTCTAAGTAGTAACTCTTGTAATCTTACCAGAGTTAGGTCTGGCCACTTGTTGCTCAGAAGCCAATCTTAGAGATGAGAGTTGGTAGGAAATCAGTTTTATTGATGGGTGGGAGTCCTGAGAAGATAGAGGGGGTGTTGTCTTCAGTTCCATATGAGTTCCATATGCAGGAACTCAAGGATGCAAAGGGCTTTTCCAGGGAGGGAAAGGGTCAGCAGGGGGTCCCTCGGGAAGGCCACATGCTGAGTGGGGTCTTCATCATCCAGGGCATGTGTCCTCCCTTCTGTGGCAAGAACATTGCAAAGGACCTTGACCTCCAGGGTCTAGCTCTTTTAGTTCTTTCCCTTTTTTAATACTTTCCTGGAAGTTAAACCTCACAGCAGTTTACATGCTTTGTGTTGAAACAGAGACTAGGAGGGGTGTTAACACCTTTTGACATTGTCTGAAGGGTGCCAGATGTTTTGGGTTCTGTAAATATTTAAAAGAAGATTATTTAGCAGTTAGCATGTGTATCATTTAGGTGTGGCTTCTTAGAACCTGGACAGTACTCTTAAAAAAGCTCTAGGGAGGGTTAACAGTAACCTTGCGAAGGGCATGAGAGGATATAACCTTGGAAAGGATTACTTCTAAAGAGTGGCCACTGTTAAAACTCAGCTGCTTGTTTGATATTGTAGAAGGAGGTATACTTAACTCTTAAGTCTCTTTTCTTAGGGAAACTGTGCAAACAAAGCATTTATTCTAGTCTGCATCTTGCCACATGCTGGCTGAAGTCATATGGGGAAGGCCTGCAGTGTTATCTTGTTCTTTCTTTTAAAATTGTGGTAAAATAGACATAAAAATGTAAGGGATATGGTTCAGTGGCATTAAGTACGTTCATGGTATTGTACAACCATTATGTTTACCCAGCACTTTTTAACCAGCCCAAAAGGAAGCTATGTAGCTGTTAAATGGTTAGTCCCTATTCCCCACCACCACCACCACCAACTCTAGGCCCTGACAGCTGGCAATCTGCTGTGTCTATGGGTTTATCTATTCTGGATCTTTCATATAAATGGAATCACACAATAATGGGTTCTTCTATGTCTGGCAGCTTTGTGTTTTCAAGGTCTGTCCATGTTGTACCATGTACTTCATTTTCATTGTATGGCTAAATAATATTCCTTTGCATATACCACATTTTACTCACCTGTTGATGGACATTTCTACTATTTGCCTACTGTAAATATATGCAACAAACAAGTGTGAGTTTTTGTTTTCAGTTCTTTGGGGCATGCATCTATCTGTGGTATTGCTGGATCATAAGGTAACTAACTTTTTAAGGAACTGGTAAATTTCTCCACAGGGGTATTCTCCATTTTGAATTCTGCCATCAGTATGTGGGTCCAAGTTTCTCTACATCCTTGCTAACCCTTGTTTCTCATTTGTTTTGTTTTGCTTTTTAAAAAATTAACCATCCTGGTAGTGTGAAGTGGTTGGTGTCTCCCTTGGGTTTTGATTTGCACTTGCCCGATGATTTAATGATCAGCATCTTTTTGTGTTTATTAGTCATTTATCTACCTTCTTTTAAAACTGTCTAGGCCCATTGGAAGTCATTTTTCCCTTTTTTTTCTTGGTTGTATTTTTGGTGTCGTAAATGAGAATTCATTTTCAAATCTAAGATCATGAAGATACTCTTGAGTGTTTTCTTCTAAGAGTTTTATGGCTTTAACTTATGTTTAGTACCCTGATCCATTTGAGTTATTTTTGTTTAATTTGTAATTGGCTCTGTGGGTTTGGATTTGCAGAAAGAAGCCAGGACTATTTCACCCATTTCCCCGCCTTCTCTTCAAGGAAAAAATAAAGAACAAGGACAAATAATGCATTACAGAGAACCACATGCACTACATGTTAGAATGTTACTGGTGAGATTCTAGGTTGATCACCTAGAGGTGCTCAGTATTTCCCTCCTCTACAAAAATAGCCACATTAACACTGGAACTCAGCACCAGAGAGACTGAACCCTCTAAAACATGGAGATTTAGGGTGGGCAATGTAGACAGTTGAGCTTGCAGTTGACACTTTGGGATCTTGGGTTTTACTTCTGTGGACTTTTATGAGCACCTTGTAGCCTCAGCCCACACTCAAAACTTTGGTGGTGTTTGCACCTTTAAGCCCTTCTTGTGCTTCTGGTCTGAGTCATGCTCCTCAGGAACTTGGAGTCTTAAAAGATTAATATATTTGTGATTGGGGTTTCTTAATGCCATTTCTGTATCATTTTCTGTACTGGTTGTGAGTGATGTGGATTTTTGGCTTGACCCTGTCTTCCTTACATTGTAAGCTAAGAGTCGTGAAGACCGTGGGACCAGAAAAGGAAGCAACCCTAGTAACATCTTTATACACCAGTAACAAACTATCTGAAAGAAAAAATGTAATACTATTCACAAGAGCTAAAAGACACAAAACAAGAACAATAGTACTAGGAAACAATTTAACCAGAGAAATGAAAGAGCTCTTCAATGAAAAGTATAAAATAGTGATGAAAGAAATTGGAGCAAACAAAAATAATAGACCTCATGCTCACAGATTGGGGAAGTTAGTATTGTTAAAATGTCTATAATACTGAAAACAATCTATAGACTTAATGCGGTCCCTATCAAAACACCAGTGATGGGCTTCACAGAACTAAAGAAAACCATCAGAAAATTTGTGTGGGAGCACAAAAGACCCAGAATAGCCAAAACAGTCCTGAGCTGAGCAGAAAGAACAAAGCTGGAGGCATCTTGATAATCTTATTTCAAAAAATACTACAAAGCATTCATAATCAAAACTGCATGTTATTTCCATTAAAAAAGACCCTTAAACCAGAGGAACGTAATTTTAAAAATCCAGAAATTAATTGTTTTTACAACTAACTAGTTTTCAACAGAGGCACCAAGAACGTAAGGACAGGCTCTTCAATACATGGTGGTGGGGAAATCTCGACATGTGTAATGAAGGTGAATAAAACTTGCCCCTTGCTTGACTCCATATAAAAAATCAGTTCAAATCAAAGATTAAGGGCTTATAGGGCAAATACTTCAATATATTGGGCTGGGCAGAGATTGTTTGGGTAAATCCCCAAAATATAAGCTACAGAAATGACTAGACAAGCAGTTACATAAAGTTAAGACACTTCTGCACAGCAAAGGAAACAATAGAGTTAAGAGACAACGTGTACAGTAGAAGTCTTGCAAACTATTCACCTGACAAGGGATTAATATACAGAATATATATGTGGAATTCAACAATAAAATTCTATTTTAAAAATGGGCAAATGATCTGAATGGATATTTCTTAAAAGAAGATATACAAATGGCCAGCAAATACATGAAAAATACTCAGTGTCACTAATCAGAGAAATGAGAGTTAAACAATAAGATACAATTTTGTCCAGGTTAGAATGGCCGTTATCAAAAGCACAAAATGCTAGTGAGCCTACAGAGAAAGAGGAATTCATGCATTCTTCTTGGAATTCTGGGAGTGTGAATTTCTTCAGGCATTGTGCAAACCAGTGTGGAGGCTCTTCAACATGTGATCCATCAATTCCACTTCTGGATATATATCCAAAGGAAATGAAATCATATTAGAGATGCGTGCACTCCCATGTTTATTGCAGCACTATTCTTTTTTTTTTTTTTGGTACCGGGGATCGAACTCGGGTCCTTGGCACTTGCACAGCAGGCGTGCGAAACCACCAAGCTAAATCCCTGGCATGCAGCACTATTCATAATAGTCAAGATACAGAATAAACCAAGAAGCCTATCAGTGGATAAACAGATAAAGTGTATATGGTGTATAATACAGTGAAAAACCTAACTCAGATATGAAAGATGAGTTTCTGTCTTTTGCAACAACATTATGCTACCTAAGTGAAATAAGCCAGGCACCAACAGACAAATACTACATGTTCTCATTTGTGGAAGCTAAGAAAATTGATTACATAGACATAATAGAAACTAGAAGAGGTTACTAGAGAATAGGAAGAGTAGAGAGGACTGAAGATAGAGAAGGGTTACTAAACTCATAAGGTTCCTACCATCACTCCTTGAAGGATTTGGGAATCAGAAAGTAGTGGAAGGAAGAAGGCTTATTTAAAACTGCTCTGAAGGGAGGGTGCTCTTTGTTTCCTTAAATCTCTAAGTTGGTTTACATTAGAATCAGATTTGAAAATTCATCCCAGACTAAGTAGCACTGTTATATCAGGGTGAGGCACAGCCGTATTTGTTTTTTAAAAGCTTCTGATATGACTAATATGCTGCCAGTATTGAGAACCATTGATTTAAAAGAAATGAGAATTAGAGGTTTATGGTAGTGCTTCTCAAATTCATCATGCACAAACCACCTGGGATCTTGTTAAAAATGCATGTTCTGATAAAATAAAAATGCATCTAGGAACGAATACAGTGAAAATGGCCATACTTCCAAAACTGCTATGTAGATTTAATGCAGTACTGATTGAAATTCCAATATATTTCACAGAACTAGAGAAGACAATCCAAAAATTCATTTGGAACCAGAGACTTAGAATGGCAAAAACAATTCTAGGCAACAGAGACATGGTAAGGGGTATCACAATCCCCAACTTGAAACTATACTACAAAGCTACTGTGATAAAAACAGCATGGTACTGGCAAAGAAACAGACCTGAGGATCAGTGGAATAGATTAGAAGATGCAGAAACAACTCCAGACATACTCAGCCCACCTCATCTTTGACAAAGTAGCCAACCACCCTCATTGGAGGAAAGATAGCCTATTTAATAAGTGGTGTTGGAAAAACTGGATTTCAACCTGCCAGAGATTAAAACTAGACCCATATCTATCACCATGCACTAAACTAAGATGGAAGTGGATTAAAGATCTATTTTTTTTTTTTTTTTGGTACTGGGGATTGAACTCAGGTCCTTGCGCTTTCAAGGCAGGCGGCAGAACCACTGAGCTAAATCCCCAGTGCAAAGATCTAAATATTAAACACTAAACTTGCTGGAAGATAGGTAGAACTCTTGAAGACATTGGCATAGGAGAAGACTATGAACAAAACCTCAGTACCACGGGAACTAGCACAAAGAACAACTGGGATCTCATATTAAAAAGCTTCTGCACTGCAAGAGAAACCAACAGAGCTAAGAGACAACCTACAATCTGGGAAAAAATTTTTAACAGCTGTACCTCAGACAAAGGACTACTATCTAGAATATATAAAGAACTGAAAAAAATAAGACCCCACAAATTCAAAGACCCAATTCAAAAATGAGCATCTGAAATGAACAGACATTTCTCAGACAAAGAACTCAAAGCAGCAAATAAATATATGAAAAAATGTTCAGTATCACTGGTCATTCAAGAGATGCAGATGAAAACAACACTGAGATTCCACCTCACCCCAGAAAGAATGGCTGCTATCAAGAAATCAAAAACAAATGCTGGCGTGGGTGTAGGGAGAAAAGAACCCTGCTCCACTGCTGGTGGGAGTGTAGACTGGTGCAACCACTGTGGAAATCAGTATGGAGATACCTCAAAGAACTAGGACTGGAAGTCCCATTTGACCCCGCTATTCCCCTGCTGGGGATCTTCCCCCCAAAATTAAAAGAATCATACCACAGTGATATATGTGTACCCATGTTTATAGCGGCACAGTTCGTAATAGCTAAAGCTTGGAAACAGCCCAAATGCCCATCAACTGGAAACTGGATAAAGAAGATGTGGAGTTTCTTTATAAAATGGAGTACTACTCAGCCATAAAGAACAAGAAACTAGAGACATTTATAGCTAAATGGATGCATATTGAGGCCATACTCTTAATTGAAATAAGTAGGACACGTGTAAATACCGAATAGTTTCTGTGGGGTGAGAAAGTGAAAGTGTAAATAAGGATGAAAATGATTACAACAAATCATTGATAATTTGAAATAGGAAGAAAAGGTCTAAAGGGGTAGGGGAAAGGAAAGAAGGGAAAGGAAAAATTATGAGAAAAATCAAAACAAAGTCTGTGTAAATAGGGAAGGTTGGAGGGGGGTGAAGGGCGCACAGGTAATTGGGAAAAAATAACCAAGATACATCATGTGCAGGTACAAGCACCCAATGATAAATGTAAACGTATTGTATACCTAAGATGTACCAATAAAATAAGCAAAAAAAATGTTATCTAGGACATAAATGTGAAGTGGTAAGGCCATAAAACTTGGAAGACAACAGGTGTAAACTTTTGTGACTGATTATTGAGTGGTTTGATACCAAAAGCTCAAGCAACGGATGCAAACATAGGTACATTGGATTTTATTGAACTTTAAAAAAAAACAAAACTTACATGCTTCAAAAGAGATGATCAAGAAAGTGAAGAAACAGCCCAGAGAATGGTAGATAACTATTTGTTGGTCATGTATATTATAAAGAATTATTGTGACTGGACAATAAAAAGACTGTCCTTCAACACTATGACAAGCTATACACAGTGAAAATAGGATGGGGCTTTGTATGTCTTCTCCCCGGGCACTAACGCCTTTTTCTAAGTTTGAGCATATTGAATGTGGAATATCGTTTTAATAAACTGGTATTTTGTAATCCTGGAGGAAAAGTTGGCTTAGACTTCACTGTATGGAATTTTCCAGTATCTAAATTGGCTTTAGAACCTAGCCCTATTATTAGATGTGTGCTGCAACCAGGCTCTTCTGTATGTGCAAGTCTTAGGAAGGGATGTTCAGGTTTAAACTTCACCTCTGAATGCTTCTGCTTGTGTGTCTAAAGGTCTGTGTGGCCTCAGCTACTTCAAATAGAAAGACCTTAGGGACAAAACCTCTACAGTGAGAAACAGGAAAGCAGTCCTTATCCAGGTGCTAGCTGGGTATGAGAAGCTAGGCCTCCATGTCCTGAACAGGACCATTTCACAGGGCATCCACACCTCAGGACTGCTTTGTGACCTTGTTCTGTAGTCATGTATAAAGAGAAGAAAATGAACGTTGCTGATAGCACAAAAATGACCAAATCAGTTACAGCTTTGATCTTGCTTCATTCTCACTTTAAGATTCCCATTGGGGCTGGGGATTTAGCTCAGTGGTTCCACTGCCTGCTTTGCAAGCGCAAGGACCTGAGTTCGATCCCTGGTACCAAAAAAAAAAAAGATTCCCATCATCTTCCACTTTCTGATTGCGTACATTTACAGAGAGCTGTCCTTTGAACTCTCCCCAGAATCAACTATCCTGTCTCTCAATCCTCAAGTTGTTCCTAACATCTTACTGAGATTGCCCCAGCCTGTCGCTTGGGTGTGTGTGTGTGTGTGTTGGGGTGTGGGGGTTGTGCTGGGGATTGAACCCAGAGCTATCACATTGACCTACATCTCCAGCCCATTTTTTTTATTTTGAGCCAGGTCTCAATTGCTAAGTTGCCCTGGCTAGGCTCAAAATTGTTTCTCCTGCCTCACCCTCTGAGTCTGGGGATTACAGCCCTACCACTCCTGAAGGGGTGTATTCTTCCTTGAACAACACACGATAAGCCCAGCCTTCTCTGTGCAGGTATGTCCTGTGGCATATGGATTTGAGTGCTGGCTGCCCTCTTGATAAGGCAGCCCTTTTCATTTTCTCAGCCTTCAGTCTTCCATAAACCACCGCTGTTTTTTTTTCTTTGCAAATCCTCTGGACATTCAAGTTTTTACAAGTTCTGTCATGTACTGTCTTGGTTTAGGGACATTTCCCCCAACATTTTTGCCATGATTGGATCCTTTTAAGTATGTTAGATACTCAGAACTTTAGGACTGAGGTCCTTCTAAGTCATGACTTCAGTTTTCTCCCACAATGTTGAGTTCAGATTTCACAGCATCAAGGTGAGGTTGTTGTGGGGACCTCTGGAGGGGTTGAAATCCCTCAGGAAGTCAGTGCAACAGTCTGCATTTCACACCAGAGATTTTGTGAAGCTGGTTGAAAACAACTCCCATTGGTGTTCCTGACCACCAAAACATCCCTGTGAATTTCTAGAACGGTGCCTAGGGGAGGAGCCTTCCTCACCGACATTGGTGTTCAGCATAGCTTATAGACTGGATCTCCAATCAAATTCTTCCTTGGTGTTTGCTGGGCATTCATGATGACCATAGTGCAGGTAATACCTTGATCTCCAATACAGATATGCTGTTCAGTGAAGGAACAATAAATGTACATGTTGCCATTTCAGAAAATTAAAATCCCTGGTTGATAGTATCTTTAAAATCCTCACATTTTAATTTTCTACTTTTTTTTTAACTTACTTTTTATTGAATTTGTTAATGTTACAGAGTTCTTGCACTGCCAAAATAACGGTACAATGGACTGCCTCATCCACCCATCATACAGTGTATTAAAACTTTATTTATGTGCATTTTTGTAATTTCACAATCTTAAAAAATTATAATGAGCTGGAATTTAAATCTGCTGTAGGTCTTCAGATTTCCAGTACAGTGTGCCATTAAATAAAACCTCATATTCATCTCACTCCACCTCTCAGTAATATAACCCCCAACAAAATTTTGTGGGACAATCCATACTTTTCAAGAAAAATATGTGACTCAAGGTCCAAGAGATTACTTG